ATGGCACCTTTCAATCTCAACGATTTTATAAGACTGGAAAGAGTCCAAGTTCTGTGATAGCGCTTGATTTAAACAGTGATAAAATTACTGATCTAATAGTGGCCAATCAAGGTGAAAGCACGATCAGTGTTCTTATTGGCTATGGAAACGGAAGTTTTCATGATCAAAAAAAATTTAATACAAGTAAAAACCCAGGCCTTTTATTGTCCGGTGATTTCAATAATGATAGAATACCCGACATAGGAGCAATTAGCGGTCGCTGGAGTTCATTTTGTATGCTGATCAGTGGTGGAAACCTGACTTTTCCTTACCAGAAAACTATTAGTATTATTAGTTCTCCAACTGATGCAATAACCTATGACTTTAATAATGATGGAAAAATAGATATTGCAATAACCGGCAAAAAGAACAACAACTTGGGTGTGTATCTATTCCAAGACAATTAGTTGCTCGCTAAATTCTTGATTTATTAAATATCAACTAAATATTAATAGCATCTTCAAGCTCCGTATGAATCATGATTATTTTATCGACAATTTTTAACTATAATACTTTTTTCATATTTTACATAACTATTAGGAAGTTTAGCTTGTTTATCCTTTTTTTTTTCAAGAAACCTTCCTAAACTATATTTCTATTGTGTTCTCTTCTTTTATGGATGTGGATGTGGATGTGGGTAAAGAGAACACATCCACCCACACCCACACATCCTGTAAATTTTATTTAAAGTTATTCAAATTTTTAAATTTCTATTAAAGATTTTTAGATTTTAATTCCAGTTATTTGTTCTATAAATTCCATTTACGACAATTAACATTAGTTCAAATCTTCTCTTTAAAAATATCTGTAAGATTGAAAACATATTTTAAAATCAAGTGGAATTGATTGAAATATTTTTCTTATAATTAATCAATAAAATAAAATATCTTTTTCCTTTTTTTCCTAAGTAAAGCAATCGATATTATCTTTAATTGTGATCTACTTTAACAAAAGAAAAGCCAAGGAACTGCTAGTTTCGTACGAATAGTTCGTTAGAATTGTAAAAATAATATAAAGGTTAATATAAGTTATCTTATAGTTGTCTTGATCTTTGTTAACTGACTAATATCTTGTAGAATTTTGGTTGTTTACATTATAATCATGTGAACTTTGGCCAATGAATATTTATCCCACGTTGTGACGCATTTATCTCCGACATAATTTCGTAGGTTTATAAGAGAAATACATAAAGATAAAGTTGCTTTGAAAATCTTGAAAAAATAAGTAAAACGAATGATATGTTGTTATGTCTATTTGTTGTTAATTATGTTTGCTATAAATAACATTGATTCATGTAATGTAATATTGAAGAACTTGGTAATGATAAACAATTTGTCGAAGATTATGCTCAATCGTTATTAAAATTATTTTCTCAATCAGATTATGTATATGGTAAATCATTTGATAATTTTTCATGTCCCATGGAAAATAATCCAATAAATGTTATTCCAACATCGGTACACGAACTTCGACCAAGTGATATTAAATGTATTGCAGCTTTATGTGATAGTTTAACAGTTGGTTTAGAAGCTCATGCTACAACATCAATTGGATTATTTATGAAAAATCGAAGTTTTAATTAATTTAATTAAAATAAATTCTGATTCTTTTGCTAGATGCATCTTGGTCAATTAGTGGTGATTATACATTCAATAGAATTCTTTCATTACGAAATATAATTCGTCAATATGATAAAGCATTAAAGGGTTATTAAACTAAAGCATGATTTATATTTCTTAAAGGTCAAAATTCATCCCACAATCATCTCAATGTTGGTCACTGTTTAGTTTTCTTTTTTGTTGTATATTGAATTTTAATTTGTAACATGTTAAGCTAAATCTGATGATCGTTCTTATCATATGATTAAGTAAGCTCGTATTCTTCTTCAACGATTATATTCAAGTAAAAACTGTTATTTAATAAACTATTGAAAATTAATTATATTTATTATTGAAATAAGTTAAATATATTCAACTTGTTTTATTTAAATATTCATTTATAGTGAAATTATTTATGTTTCTTTGTCAAGATTTAGACAAACATAGTCCAAGTAATTTTACTAAATATGAAACTGAAATATTAGATTATCTTCATGATAATATTCCACGTGCTCTTATTAATCTTGTTCTTATACTTAATGTTCGAGGAGTAGACTTATTAAATGTAGGTGGTCCAATTTGTCGATTATTTCATAATAAGACGTATCTATGTGCTGCATTTCTTAGTGAAAATCAAGCTACAAAATTAAATAAATGGATTCCACAATATCATGAAATGTTAGTGGATCTTATCCATTCGAGTCGTTATGATACAAACGATAATTTTACTGTTGTTATTCAACCATTTATGGTTCATGCACAATGACCAAGAAAAAACGATGGAACTATTGATTTTTCTTATTTTGCTTCCGATTGTTTTCATTTTAGTGGTTAAGTTTATTTCAATTTAGTATTATTAAAATTGTTTTACTTATTTAAATATTAGATAAAGGTCATTCTCGAGCAGCTTTATCTTTATGGAATAATATGTTTAAACCAGTTGGAGATAAACAATGACAATGGCACGAAAGAGAAAAAAAATAATATGTTCAACAAAAAAGCATCCATTTAGTTTTACATCAAAAAATTCTCCAAAACGATTTGAATCAATACCGAAAATTATATGAAATAAAGATTCTACTATTTTGAATTCGATTTATTATGTCATAATGGCTGAAACTTCTAATTTGTTAAAGAGCATTCTAGCATAGATTACATTCATCTATACTCAACAATTGAAATATTCGACTTTTCAATATTGAGAAACTCTTAAATGATCTATAATTTATCGAAAATCTTTGAAAAATTATTCTAATCGATAATTGAATACATCGAATCAATAAGAATATAAGATGATTTTAGATTTTATTCGTCTATAAATTTAAACAATTCTCTTCAACCTTGAATGAAGATCTAAATGAAATAGAATATTCTTTATTATAATCTCGAGAAAATATATTCTCAATAATTGGACACGAATTTTCTCGAAATTTTCATTATCATTAGGTAAGATTGAAGCAACTCTAAAAAATCTTCAAAATATTTTCTCTACTAATTGTCGTACTTAATATTTTACTGATTGTTGTTAAAAAGAAAAGTTGTCAGTGCAGCCTTTTTGAAACTAAAATATGAAATGGATATGAGTTTTTTCTCCTCACTATATTAATACTAAGTACATCAAGTGAAAAATCTCTATTAGATTAAAATGGTTTTTCAAGGATAATTTATTGATAGCGTAATGATTTCTCTTATTCGTTTCTGAATTCGAACAGAAATTCTTTTTTCTGTGCATTATTTCGCACATTCACAATTATACTCCAACTATTGAAATTTCAATAAAAGCTCTGTAATGTTCTAGAACAGTCGAACTCTGGCAAATCAGTTTAGTATCGGTTGTTCCCGGTTTGTACAGAAATGTATGCATTCAATGATAGTTAGTCTTTCTGATTATTGTCCAGCCGTTTCGTTGTTGTTAGGAAATATATTCTTATTAGGGTGTGATCTTTGACTTGATTTACTATGCAGAAAGGGTTCAAATCTGAAAATGTTTGAATTAAAACTTCGATTGATAAGATTGCTCGAAAATCTAATTGAGTTCGACAAAAGTATTTCAAGTTCAAAAAGTGAAAGACATAAACGTTAAGCTGATATTGTTTGAATATGTCGATAAATATGATTTCGGTTTTTATGAAAACTTAAAAAGATTATTGTATTTTTAAATAGAAATATTTATTTAAAGCTGAAACTTGTTTCGTTTTACTATATTTTTTTTCCAAGTATCTTATGAAATGAATTCAATAAGAGTCTGATGACTTTATGATGAAACCATCAAGCCGAATGATTATTGTCTATTATTATGTTACATATAGATTTACTGATAATATAAATAAATAGAGAATGTAACAGTGTTTTGACAGGTCATTAAAAATGTGTTGTCTATATTTTGAGATTCATTTAAACTTGATGAAATTCTTTAATGATAAATTTGAAGTATAGAAGCAAATGATTTGATCATAATTTCAAGGAATTGTAATTCTACTATGATTAAGTCTATTTAATAAATATAAAATTTAAAACAAAAGACAAAATCATTTGTTTTATATTTAAAAAAAAATAAATTGAAAAAAATTGATAATAATTTTAAAATAGAATTAAACCAACTACGTAGTTATTGTTGTGTATTGTTCTGAATTTTTTCATATAGAATATAAAATATTGATTGATCAATTTGTCCACTACGATGATAATGAGTTCTTGTATGAATATGAGGAACAATTTGTTCGAATATATCTCTTACTTCTTTTTCAGCTCTCTCTTTCTCTCTTTTTTCTAATAAATTATTTGATTCATCCCCACAAGTCCATTTATAAGTTATATTAAGATAATTTTTTGCAACTTGTCGATGTACTTCTTCTGCTTTTTGTTTTCCTTGTTTATTATTTCTAAAAGCAGATAACATGGCTAAATCTTCATTTGTTGGTGGAATATGTTTAAAATTTGATTGACAACCATTTAATCGTTTTGGTAAAACTAATGGATCAATGTACTTACTTAAATCATTAATAGCATTTACAAAATGAATTTTACTTTCAACAACAGGATCCAACCATCGTTTAATAATATACCAACATCTGTCAAAAATCCAAGGAGCATTTATAACAAGTCCAAGTGTAAAAAGACTCCGGATAATAATTTTGAAGAAGATGAATAAGAAATTTAAAATGTTGATAATATGCATATTTTTGAGTCCAAAACCCATTAGATCAAAAACAACTGTTACAGATTCATGGAAGGGGGGAGGGCAGAGGGTAAGTCATTTTCAACACGTTTGCATTGAAAAGACTATAAATTCGAATGGAAATTGATCTTTTATATGTTCTTTAGCAAAAACATAAACAATCGGACATCCAGCTCTATCATAACCCATAAAATAACTTTTGCGTACAATTATTTCTTGATAGCAAAGATCATTTTCTCCTTTTGCTCAAGGTTCTTTAACTCTTTATTGATGCCTGCAATTAATCGTACCAGTTAATTATTGTAAAACTGCATTAATATCCCATTATCTAGATCGAAGACATTAAACTAAAATCGTATCTGAATTATCATAATCAGCAGCTAGAAATAGTTCATTTTGAAAAAAAAAAACTTTTATCTCTTGTTTTACAGCCGCCAATATATTCTACAACGACTTTCTGAAGATTCCATTTGATTTCTATGAAGATTTTTTACGAGAAAATAAAAAAGATATATTTTTTAAACGAAATCAACTTACTGATATGTATAAGATCATTTGCACTCATTTACGATTTAGTTTTCTTTTTGCCAAACTTATTTTCAGTAAGAAATAAATAATCCAGATGTTTTATTATTAATTGCCGAATGAACTTTTTTTTTCAAATGTTTGTCAATGTACATAGAAAATATAAGTTTATTTCATTTTCTTGTTATTAGTCACTTCACTTATATTTATATTTGTAAATCAACAGTCAAATAGTTCGATAATTAAAATCCGTCGATAAGAGAAAGTTTTCAAGCAAAAGTATCACTTATGATGATTTGAAGTTTTATTTTCTCTTGCTTTAAAATGATTGCAAGTAGTTAGATAATTGATATTGATTAATGGCGAACGTCTAAAGTCGTTCTTATCTATATTAAATTTTTAGACAGTTTAATTCATCTAATATATAATTAATTTATCTAGAGATATTATTTTTATTCGATTTGTTGATTAACTGAAAATTATTATTTGGCATTGTGTGTCTGTGAACTGATTCGATGTCACGTTCAACCTTTAGGAGATTTTCGATCATTCAAATAGATTTATCTCGTCAACAAAATTAGTTTATCTTATAATTAAACTTGAATAAATATATTTAACAATAATCTTGTTTTAGATCCAAACTTTTTTATATTCAAAACAAAAATCCTATTTAAATGGAATTAGATTTAAAAGCATTGACAAGTCTATAAAGAATACAAGACAACTAAAATGTTTATTTATTGCATGTTTTAGAAATAGAAAAAGTCTCAATTTTTATTAAAACTTTCGAATTTGATTGAAAGTTTAATATTAAAATCATTGTTTGTATTCATCTAAGCACCGAGATTCGATGGAATACGATCACGACATTTTAGTTGTATTTCGAAATTTTTTTTAATTTAAACAACTACACTGTTTTATGACGACAAACAACTAGACTTAAACAAGAACAAGTGACAATTTACTACTACGAAGTACAAGTCAATTAAAAGTGGATTACATTTAACTAACGTATGTCATTCATACGAACTCTCACTTGTCTCCCCGTTTGTCTAAATAGGATTTTAAATTTGACAGGTTTTTGTTAATAAAATGATATTTTATTGAATATCGCTATGAGAAATGAGAAATGCATCGCCAATTTATGAAAAAGAATCATCTTAAAAAAAAGAGTGTTCGATTTGTAACTTTTAAAATGTAACTAATCATTACGTTGAATTATTTTTCAAATTGATACTTTACCTGAACAATTTCACATCATCAAAAATAGCGAAAAAATAAAATTTTAAATATTAACATTGGTTTTCTTCTACATCGAACATTTTCAAGACACTATTTCAACAGAAGTCTTTTTTTACGAATAGAAAAATAATTACTTTTAGAAGAATTTTTAGAATTGATTAAAAGCACGAAAATTTAATAAATATTTGATAAAAAACGTTTTATTGTTTCAGTTTGTTTCAAACAAAATGTTTAAAAAAAGTTCAAATCGACTAAAATAAATTTCATTTAAACATGTTTACCTTTTCAATTTGTGACGATTCACTCTCAAGCTAACTCATTATCTCGTTCATGCACAAATAATGATGAAAAAATCTCTTTAGATTTTTGTTTCGTTCCTTTCTTTTAAGGGACCATCCATACGAGACGTACAGGTAAAAAACGCATTTTTTGACACTCCCTTTTCCCTTCCGAACCCCCAGTGCAAAAAATTCCCAAAATAAACTTGCTTTTTAACATATGTCATAGCCAATATAAGACTTAGGGGTAAATTCTATTTTCGTCAAATGAATTTATCACCGAAAAAAATATAAGTTGAATTTAATCGGTCATATAGACAACAATTATATTTTAGATAATTATTCCATGACACTAAGTCAGTTAGAACCACGTGAGATGGCTTCCAAGTCGGTTGAATTGACTACCAAGTCAGATGGTAGCCGTCTGAGTTGGTAACCAACTGACTTGGTTACCAATTCAGTTCCATGGGATGGGTGTGGGTGTGGGTGTAGGTGTCGGTATCGATACTGGCTCTAACACCCACCCACACACCGACACCCACACCATGCTAATGTTTTGAAATTTTAAAAAGATTCTAAAATATCAAAAGAATCGAATGGTTATCGGTACTTCTAAACCATCAAGATCCGTGCCATTAAGTAATTAAAAATAGTTCTTAAGGTGTCACAGAACTCTATAGAACTATAATAGATTTATTCCAATCATAGCTAACAATACAAAAATAACGTAAGTGTCAACAATTCTGAATTCTGCTGCTGCTGCTTATGCTGATTTACGTTTTTTTTGTAATTTTTTCTTTTTACAATGACACGTGAGATGAAGAAATCATATATATAAATCGAATTTTTCTTTCTTGCTCACGTACACCTTCCATCAGTGGCATAACTTTGTTGCAATCATTGACAAAAGATATAAAAGAGTGGGCTAAAAGTTTATTCGTGAGACAAATCACACTCACTTATGGTCTTATGAATCCTTCATTGGTTCGAAGAAAAGGTCTTGTATTGCTTTCTTCTTTATTTTTTTAATTCAATTTCTGTCAGTAGAAATCCTTTTTGATAAAAAAAAATTAAGAATTTTTTTGAATAACTTTTAATAGAAATGAGATAGAGATCTGAGGTTTCACTGTTTAGACGAAAAAATAAAACTGCATCGAAACTTGAATACCAAATACTTATGAGCAGACTTCTGAGAGACACTCACCTAAGTTTTTTCAATCAAAGCTTCTTATTAGGTATAGAAGATGGATTTTTCTTCAAAACATAAAAATAAAAGGTAATTTTTTTGTGAAACACCTGTTGAGAACATGCAGTAAAGTGTTAATAACTCGTGACAAGTACAACATTTTAACATTAAATTTAAACAGATTTTCAAGCTTTAATTAAAGATTGTGCTGCACTGCTGAAAACCGAAATTTCGCAACTATTACATGGCATACTGTTTGGTGCTTAGCGAGCTTGATGCGTGACTCTGAAAAGAGTTGTCAAAAAACTTGCATGCTCAAGTTTCGACTCAATTTCGTTTTCTCTTTTAAACGATGAAAGCCGCGAATCTCTATCTCGTTTTTAAAAACATTATTCAAAAAATAATTATATTTTTTTGTTTTGTGGAACTCACGTATGTTTTCGAAGAAAATAGTGAGTGTAAGTTTTAAGTTCGAGGTTGGCGGCTCCCCCACCCCATTACAGACACATAGCAACGGAGAAAGAGAACATTACAGACATACCCCCCATTACAGACAACCTCCCATTACAGACCTCAGCAACCGGGCATAAAAAACTTCAACTTTATTTAACAATAAAAAGAGAGTTGAACAGTATGAAAAAGTTTTCAGTTTACAGATGACGTATTAAGATAACAAGACTGAAGGATATACGTGAGTTCCACATTTTAGCTCCAAAGGAGCTGCGCTAACAAGCTTTTTTGAAATGGATATTAGTCATGGGATATGACAAAGAATTACCTTTTATCAATAAGTCGATATTTTATAGAAGACTTTTTATATTTATACAAGAAAAAGAAGCATGATACCGATATATAACGACTATATAACGAGGCGAACTTTCTTTCAGGTGCTACTATTAAGGACTCGATTTTTACGTCTTGTTCTCTATATTTAATCACTTGTTTTTGTCAACATGCAGTAACCTACCGCGCGACAGTCTTGCCACAAAATTTTCCCTTCTTTTTTGGCCATTTAGAAGCGACTTTTGAGAGCCAAAAGCAGTCAGTTACAGTCAGAGTTTTCTTTTGACGTGAATTCGATCAACTATGAGAAAACTTTTAAAAGGAGCTAAAATGTTGTCTGTACCAAGCAAAAACAGGCCTTTTTTGCAAGGTTTACTTTTTGCGGTTTGTAGTTTTGGACAGTTTTAACTTGGCATTATTGGAGAGCATTCAATTCTCTACAGAATGAGCTATTGCAATACGCGAAATCTCAAATCGCTATAAAGTTCCGCATGCCTTCGAAAGAGCTACTTTCTATGTAAAGTGAAATTGGTCAAAATATCGATTTCTCAAAATCTGATGTTTTAAAAACGCAACATATTTCAAATCTTTAGCGAAAGATAAAATAGAAAATAAACAGCACATTTTGTAGAAGAAAGCCTACTCTACAGAACTGTACTATTAAGAACCGTTTTGCATATTGCATTAATTAGATGTTAGTCAAAATACAAAAACAGGAGAAAATCAAATTCTGCACAGACATTATGTTAGACGTTTTGAAAAATTTTCTCACGGTAACACGACTGTTGCTCCCCGATGATAGTTGTTCCGCAACGACAGTTGCTCCTGCAGCAGGGTTATGGATATGAGTGTGGATGCCAGTGTGGGTAAGAGTGCAAGTGTGGGTGTGGGTGCGATTGTGACTGTGGCTGGGTGTGGATGCGGGTGCGAATGAATGTGAGTAGGTTTTGGTACAAATGTGAGTGTGGGTAGGAGTGTGTGGGTGCAAGTTTAATTGTGGACGGGTG